TATATATATAAATACAGGGTGTGCCATTTAACACTCCTGCTGCCAATATCTCCGAAATGAAGAAATTTATTTTAGTTTCGGAAACTGGAGTTGTTAGGTCCCTCGAATAGCTTAAAATTGGAGTTAGAACAGTTAGTTCAAATCTTTCTATATAGTTGGCGTGGCGATACTAAAAAAATTTTTGTTCCCTAGAACGTGGAAATAATGGTAAATCGTATAACTAGTATACTTAAATTGAAAGACGCAAACTGATAAAACTGTAATTATTGGAAAACTAATATGTGTCATCTGTCATTGTTTTATTTTAAACAAATAATATGAGCCACCTATGACTGCATTTTTTAATAACATTTGATAATGTACAATTTTTTTTTCTGTAGTTGATCATTCGTTTTTTATATAATTTATTGTTTGTTAGTTAGTATGTGATGTGAATAAAGCTATTATAACAATATTTTAAAAGAATATTTTGTCTCAGTGTGATTTAAATAAAATAATAAATTTTCCTGTTATATCATACCTACATTGCATATTGAAGTCGACATATCTCGAAAACAAGTAAATATAGGGGAAAACTTTATATTGCAAAATTACTCAAAATTTAACGATCTTTCAGATCAAAATTTTTAGTATCGCCACGCCATCTATACAGAAAGATTTGAACTAATAATTCTAACTACAATTTGAAGCTATTCGAGGGACCTAACAACCCTAATTTTCGGAAAATAAATTTCTTCATTTCGGAGATATTGACAGCGGGAGTGTTAAATGACACACCTTGTATATATAGGTATATAATATATATATAGGTACTAATACCACAGTATAATTGATTAGTATACTGTGCACAGTACATAAAACATAATACATATAATAGCGACCAAAGAGGATATACAAAATTTGTATATCATCTTTGCTAATACGATGTAACATCCATGAAATAAAAACTAAAATAAATGTTCTGAGCTCAGGCTCAGATGCGTGATCACCGATCACGATCCGTTGTAACCACGTGACTATCAACATCTAATTGTGCATCAGGGGGGCTGGCTTTCGTTTTGGTAAAAATGGTACCATTAGCAACAAATATCAGTTCAGAGTGTCTCTAAGTTGCTACATTGTTTGGTGTAACTATATAAACAATGGTTGCTATTATAGCTGCTACACTATTTTTGCCAAATCGTAAGGCCCTCAGTAAAGCGGCTTGACACTCCGTCAAGATCAAATCGGATTGGATGTTGATGGTCACGTGGCTACAACGGATCCATGATCACGCATACATGTGGAATGTGGATCCAGGGTTGCCAGATTGGGCTACTTATCGCCAATTGGGCTATCTCAGATGACTTTCGGCTACTTGAAAAAAAGCAAAGATAGCCAGTCGCCAATTTGGACTATTTCGAGTTTTTACCAGTGTCGGCAATCTGTACAAATCGAATGTTAGAAAAGTATATTTATATAAATTCTTTTTTTTACTCAAGATTTAAGTTTATTTTTTTTCTTTTATACATGGAATAAAAAATATTTTATTCGACTTATATTTATTCATATTTTATATACACATTTCTGTATTGTAGAATCAGAATAATCATAATATTTTTTTTTAATTTTAATATTTTAACGATTGTCTTTATTTATCTTCGAATTGTCCGTATACGTTTTTAGAAATAAGTCTACTTTTAAATTAAATGAAACCATTCATAATAAAAGCACTAGGCAAAATAAGAAATTCCACATTCCTTTTTTTAAATACAAAATATCTTGTGATTCACCATTTTATTTAGGTTTAAAAGTTTTTAACAAATTGCCTTCTGAGATAACGAACACAAATAATTTTATATTTTATAAGAAGCTGCATAAATACTTAATAAGAAATACATTTTATACTTTAAATGAATTTTTTGATTCTTAATGTATCTAGAATAGATAGTTTTAAGTTATTTTAAGTATAAAAAAAATGTGACAATTCCTATACAATGTGTGTCTTCAAGGAAAATAAA